ATGCCATAGTTTCAACTAGTGTTATATTTTCAATGTTTTTATGATCATGGGAGGGTCAGGAAAAACTGTAAGTTCTAGGATGCACGAACAGCGATAAGAAATGGAAATAAACTATGTGCGAAATCCACATAGTGGGGTACTTGCAAAAAAACTGACAGGGGTGTGTAGCTGGTTGTTTGAAACTCCTACCCTTATCAGACAGAAATAAACTCAAATTGCCCACCCCTTTTTCAGAGAAATTGTGGATAGTTGACACCCTTTCCAGACAGTAAGCATAAATGATAAATAGCGAATCAGAGGATCCGTTTCAGGTTTATTCATTCCGGGAAATGGGGATATCTTTGACGATCGAAATGAAGTTCCAGAAAGAAAACAAACCGCTTCATTTTTCTGATTGTTGGATCACTCAAGCTTATGAGACAGTCTTTGGGAGGTATTGATCCCTTTTCAGACAGAAATAATGGCAAAAGGATACCCTTTTTCAGACAGACGTTGTAAAATAATTTACAGACAGAAGTGGTAAATTTGGAACTCCTTTTGGCGGCACATATACATTTAGCACTTCAACCACCCCCCCCCCTCCCCAGAGGCAACCTTACGAAATGCACCGGGTTCCAAAAGGAAAACCCCCATAATCTGCCAAGCTTCTGATGAAATGGAAGCAGATTATACAAAGGAAAGACTTTTTTCCAAGAAATGATAGTCGGGTAAGTCAAAATAGAACGATTTATAGCAGTAAAATAAATGTTAAGTAATGGGAACTTTGTCACATCTAGCGATACAAATGAAAAGCTCAAAACAATATAAACAAAGCCAATTTCGCCGATCCACATCGTTTGTGTTGTACTCGAAATAGCAGTATGAGTATTGAAGAATAATACAACACCGGGAGTACCTTACGAAAATACGTAGAGACAACTTTTAATTATTCTCGTTTGTTTGTAAACGTGATTTTGCATTCAATGCATTCATTACGACTGAAATATTCGAAGTAACACTGTGTTGGACTCGTCATGTTCAAGAAGAAATTGATTTCAATATGAAGAATGTAAAAAATAAATTTGTAATTTTCCATGTTTTGAATATATTTCAAAAGCCTTGTTACGCTTTGATCCGATCAAGACATTTTAAATCAGGCTATGATACGATTATCAAGCTCTGCTGAGTTTTGTTACGCTTTATTAAGCTTTTAAACGCTCTCGGCGCTATAATCAAGTCGTGACAGAGCGCCCAACATTTTTAAACAGTTTAAAATTGTTTGGCGCTCTTGCCGAATGTCCCACTTTACTCCAAGCTTTCCCACGATCTATTACGACCCCGGCGCTTTAATCCAGCTTTGTTGTGCTTTGGTACCGCTTTGCAAACCGCTTTAAAGCGCCGTTGGTGCTTGAAAATGTTGTATAGCAGTTTTTAGCTAATTGATCACAAGTAAGAGACATGGTGTGCGTTTATATATTAACGCATTGTAAAAAATGCTATACAAGCCAAACTTTTGTAGCAGTTACATCAAAATGTGGAGCATTTTTCTATGCGATACAGCCGAATTTGGACCCTGGCTATTTTTATATCACAATGTGCATGTAAATAAAAATATTGATTGAGTATTTAACTACAGCATGGATGGCTTCACTATTTTAAAATCTCCTGCAAGAATTGAGTAGTAAGTGCTGGCAACATATGATGAAAGTAAAAACGGTCCATGTCTTGGTGCTGTATTACCTCTGAAGCGTGGGTGAACACAGTTGCGAATCCGCATGTTGATGGATCGGTGTCCAGTTTCTCCGGGACGCTTGCAGCTGCACTACTTTTGATACGTAGCTTTCTCTGTGAAGGGCGTAGTTATGGTTTGTTGTCTGCATAGAAAGTATACCTGCTTTTGTATCCGTCACTTGAACATGTTATTAACTATTAAATTACTATTACCAGGTAGTATTATATTTATCTATTTCATTTTTATTACTACCTCATAGTATTTTTATATTTACTTTCATTTGTTTATTTGTTATTTTATTCTAAACAATTTTGTTTTGGGTTTGTGCGTGTGTCTTTTTATTTCTACAACAAAAAATAAATCGTACCATATGACCAACCTACGCTACTGTACACCGACCGTGATGGTATGGGACTGCCCTATGTTCCGACATTTCTTCTATGTTCCGACATTTCTATGTTCCGACACACAGTATACTTGTAGCTCTCATGCGGCCACAAGTAATTATAATGTACAGGTTACCCTGCGTGACCTTTGACTGCTATGACCTGTAACCAGGATGTCATGTGGGTTAATACAATTTCAACACAAAGCCTGAAATTCCAGCTTTGGCCAGTCTCTAACAGTCTCTTTTCAAATATCCATGGAAAAAATCGTTGAAAATACGTATTAAATGTTTGTAGGTGAGTTTGTAGTGGTGACAATAGTACGAATTCGTACTAAAGTAGTTCAATATCAATAAATATTTCCATTATTGAATGCTCATAAAGGCCATGGTGAAACAATGACGACACAATAGGATGTATTCAAAATATTATTTTCAAATCTCCCACTAGACACGAGGGGAATATGAGCTAAAAACTTTGTTGAACAGGTTGATTTATCACTGCATACATCGAGAATAATTTGTGGAGGTATACAAACGTCAGACGTAGACTACGTTCAACAAAATAAACTAACTACAGTTTATTCAACATCGAACACTGGAACATACTATCAGGATACAAACTGAAGAAATACATGACTTCAAGCGAGAATATTTTTCTTTCCTTATATGTCTTAAAATCGAACGTGAAAGGAGACACATGACGTCTAAAAAGCGCGGGAACTTCATATAATAAGTATATCTGAAGGCCAAATTATTATACAATGATTGGTTAATTCTAAAACAATACGTCGTTGTGAATGGGTCTATAATTGCCATGGTAACATAAATAAGTTATTTGATCTTCTGATAGCGGCAGAGAATCCGTCTGGCGAGTATAAAAGGGAAGTTTACATTGTAGTGACAATCACCAAGTGGTACAGACGTGTGCTTAGTCACATGGAATTTCAGTGAAAGAAAAATTATAACGTTCTCCGACATAATTAACTAATTTAGGTTATATTTGTGTATGCGTAAAACTTTTATTACAAGAACGGTCCTGACCTGTAGGTTTAATTTGACATCACTCGACGGAAACACGTCAAATGCACAGTGAATGGTTGGTCGGCGTTTTACAAGCCCACAACAGTCAAGTAGTCTGAATGAAACGATGACAGATTAACAATTACGAATGGATTTTTTCAATAGTAAAATGTTTTGAGAAATTTATTTAGAAGTACATAATACTATTGAATGGAGATACAGAATGTTGTTTCCTAGATTAGATTAGATTGGATTGTGTTTATTTATTGTTATATTGTACCGAACGTTTTGACATACCTTTAATTAATATGTCATTGTACATACGCTGAAAATATATATATACTGCATGTATATTCGGGACAGTGTGACGTTTGCCCATATAACTCAGTTACTGTCTAGTAACACTTTATGACTTTATGACGTCTATTGAAATACAAGTTATGTTGAACACCACTAATTACACTTCTTCACTATTCGAGTTTCATACTTAGACACACACCGTGTCTGAGATCGCCATCTACGACGACATTTACCAGTTACGCAGACTTCAAAATACTTTATATGCGGCGCTGATACGGACTAATTGCCTACAACATGTTTACATACACTGTATTCCAACGCCCGTCGTTACTCATATATACATATCCCATAATGCAACGCGGTCATGACATCACTGTAAAGTGCCCCCATAACCACGAATTAGGTCACGCTCAGATTGACACCATACAATTAAAGGTTGACAATCGAAAGAAAGGAAGGTGGAAATTGAATAGCATATATATAAACACAACTTTGTAAAACAAATCTAAAGAAGAAGTTAAGGAAAATATATATTAATAAAAACATATCCCTTGAAACATACTTGAAAATGTCAAAGCAAAAAAATATATATAATGTAGCCCATAACTAGGTGCAGGATAAAATAAGTCTACCCTCCAGAGATTTTAATGGTCAAGCCCTCAGTCATGTTATTGGCCCCGCTGTCAACAAAGTCGACGACGTGGAGCTCTTTATATTATAACTGATTGTCTGCCGTCGTCCAGCTTCTGTAGAATGTAGTCTGTAGTCAACTTTTTACATTTCGTCTTCTTCAAAACCGTCAAACCAAATGCTTTCATTTTTGCGACATAGATTCTTTGGATAGTCCTCTGGTAGATGTGTTCATTTCATATGGATATTTTCAATTCTCTAATATTGATGAATATGTTTGTCATATTTGGTGAAAAATGATATTTTCGACTTCTTGTTATAAACTGCAAGTCTGATAATTGCCTTGATATTATACATATAGGTATCTCAGGTAGACCTCTCTCAAATTTGTTCATTTCGTGATGATATTTTCAATTCTCTAATATTGATGAATATTTTTGTCATTTTTGGTAAAAAGTTATATTTTCGACTTCTTGTTAAAAACCGCAAGTCCAATTGCTTTGATATTAGGTATCTCAGGTAGACCTCTCTCAAATTTGTTTATTTCGTGATGATATCTTCAATTACCGATTTTGAAGAATAATGTTGTCATTTCAGTAAAGAGTGATATATTCGAATTATTGTTATAAACAGGAAGTCTGATTGCTTTGATATCTTCAGTTCTTTAATTGAAATGTGCATTGCCAACAGTGGAACTATCTCCGCCGACAGGCTGCTTGTATAATTACAGTGTAGCAAACCGCATTTCATTGCACCATGTACCAGCCAAGGTCAAATAAATAACCTTCACCTATTTAAATGCCAACTAGTCTTCATCTAAATTTATGAGTTGAGTAAAGTCTAATAAAAACTGCAGGTCCAACACGTGGAATAATAATAGCGGGTAATAATTTACCGGAGAGTTCATAGGTCAGGTGCTAACATAGATAATTTTTTGACTCGTACACAGACATGCAGTTAGACGAGGCCTATAAAGTGGTCGGAGAATGCGGTTTCTATCATTTTTCTATATACATCTTGGTTTGCATATTTGGACAAGTGATATCCGTATGGCACATGTTAGGAATCACCTTCCTGGGTGGGACGCCGCTGCACCACTGCTGGATACCAGACTGGGCTACGCTCAATGACTCAATACCGCTAGTCGAGAGCGATGACGGCACATGGGAATACAGCAGTTGTACTATGTATGACAACTATACAGCGTCGAGTAACAGCACAGTGTCGTGTGAACAAGGCTGGGTGTACGATCCGTCCCATGAGCTCACTATTGTCACAGAGGTGAATGATTGCATTTTTTACAACATACAAGTATATGGAAAGGATATATGGTTTTACACGACTTGTGTGCCCGCCAACAAAATCATTCACATTTGTCAGTTTTGCTCAAATATGCTTGTTTCTTATTTGTTCGACTAAGCAGAGAGGCTATAAATCAAGACCCATAAGCAGATAATGTGAACTAAATTGTAATATACGCGGGAATGTAAATATTAACAAATTTGTATATCGCTGTCGTGCGTACAGAATTAGTACAGCCAGTAATAACACTGTATCTCTAATTCGTCTTAGTGGGATCTTGTTTGTGACAAGTCCGCATACGTCGACATCTCTCAAGCCATTTTTATGACTGGAGTCATGTTTGGTTCTGTTACATTTGGTCAGCTATCGGACATCTTTGGCAGGCGACCAGTGTGGTTCCTTTCTCTTTGGGTTCAATTGGTAATAGCGGTCAGTGTAGCATTCACCCAGAGCTACGCCGCCTTCACTATTCTTCGCTTTTTTGTCGGTTTTCTTGAGCAGGTGAGTAATATTAACCATTGTAAATTAGTAGTTTCTTTCAGTACACACAATGCAAAAAAACAATGATACAAGTTATATCATTTAAACCACAATGCATTGTCATATATCTCATTTGTGGTGATCACCTGAAAAAACCAAATGTTATTGTTTTTTTCAAATCGGTTGAATTAATAGACCTGTTCCGACATCTTTGTTCTCGACCTGTTGATTAGTGACAGAATATAACCTTAAGTTACACTGAGACAAACTTACAGAACTCCGGGTATTCAATATCAACTTTTCAGATTACACAAACCGGAAAATAAAAATAAGCAAAAAAAAATTAATTTGTACAGAATGTCGGCCTCGACATTTTATCCTGAGTCAAAATTTATATCCCAGACGAATCCTCGTACCCGGGCTTTATCCGACTTAAAAAAAACCGCCAAGACCATAATCTAACTCGTATAATCATATAGGCCAAATATTGATGACCGACATACGTTGTATGAGCTTCAATTTCGAACCCAACTTTTGTGGATTTTTAACACAGTTAAATTTGGTCAGTGTGTCATGATTAATGTCAAATGATTTGCATACAAGTCCTGGACACCTTTATGAGACAAAGACCTATGCAATGTTATAGAAGGTTTATATAACAGTTTTTGAGAACACTTTATGAGAACAAAAAAAAAGATTTAGCCTGAAACAGGAGATTTGGGTTAGATAAAGCCAAGCAGTGTAATATTTGTCGAGAAACACTAGGTGGTTTTTAATTTCTATTTACTTTGAATATTAAGATAGAACATATAACTCTTTTTCCTTCTATTGAAGAGTTGCTTGCGCCTGGGCCTGGTAATGCGAATTTAAACAACCTATGTAGATAAGCGACATAGCATTTCAATCAATAGTGTTTAATGTTTAAATTGTAATGATCTTGCGTTTATATCTGTATAATAATAGCCAATATTTCAATCCTTTGACATGACGTCATCATTCACAAATATTGTGGTCCCATTTGCTGAAAACCATCCAATACATAGCGTAGGCATTTAGAAGTGTTATATGTTATGCTAAAACGAAACTTCCATGTAGTAGATTTAAGATTGACACTTGTATAACTGTATTGGAGATGTGATGCGCAAAATAGAATTTCCTGAAATAAGAATTATATAACATACTCACTTAAACCACGTGAATCACATGAGTTAAATATTATTATTGTCTACAATACGATGCGTATATTTGCCGTCTCGTTTGGTGTTTTACGATATGAGAATAATAAAGTACAAATTGTTTTCTAGTCAATTCAAAAACTATTATTCCAAATTTGTACGGATTTTAGTTATTGTGTGTCTACTGTATATACATTTTCACATGTTGATACGCACACGCGCTGAGAAATGTGACAGCGGACCCAATAGTTCATTGACCCCAAATATTACGAAAAGTGGCCTCTGCACGTAAGGCTCGTGTGGGTTCTCGTGCTCGATATACATACTTCCCTAGAAAACCGTGCGGGATTCTACACAGAATTAAATTGCATAGATCCGATTGGAGGCGCTTCTAAAAGCATGCGCTCAATTCAGATTTGTCGTTGTTTTGCTGCTTTTCCACATCAACCACTTTCCAGGATTACCTACTGTATGTGGCTAGTACTGACAAACAGGTACAGTTGGTTGTATTTTTTTTACAGACAATCACTCGTAACAGTGCGTATTAGCTCCTGATCTAAACGTGGCCGTTCTTTTGACGTGCAGCATGGGTCGGTCCATGCAAAATATTGAAATCACTGTTTTAATTCTTAAAGTTTTATCAGACACCAGAAACCTACCGTAAATTCTGTTGTTATGTTTCCAAACGTGTGACAGTTGAGAATTTAAGCGCACACGAATATTGCCGTGCATTTCCCAGTGGTTGTTTTTCACAGCTGTTTCATTAGTATAGTGTTATAGTAAATAATAGGAAAAAAAATAATTGATAGATTGAATTTATCTAATTAGTTGGAAACTCTGTCCTCAACTAACTAATTGTAAAATGCCACCTCAATCTAGATCATCGAGTCATGTCACAGCTTTAACGAGTAATTTGATTGGACAGTGCATTGGAGAAAATATATATCTCTAGTATTGCTAACTAGAATGTGGGCGCACTTAATATACGTTGGCTATATTGTGAAGGTAGTACTACCTTCTATGGCTATATGGAATCTGCCAAGCGATATCCGAACAAATGAGCCTTCGCTGATGAAAATGCGTGTATGATCACATGGCAATTTTAATTTGACATTTACAAGTTTGTTCTCATAAATCTCATTCTATATGGTTTGTTTCACCATAGATTGCAGCGTAACGCGTTGGTACATTCAACACCTCTTATGAGTTTGTGCCGGGTATCTAAACTTATAAAGAACTCAAAACATTAAAACAAATCAACTATAGAGCAGGTGGAATATTAGAAAATCAAACTTGATGGGCTGTGGTCGCCGCGCCGCGTGTGTGCAACATTTGTGTTGATAAACAATGATTTTTTTCCAGAATCCAATGCGCTTTTCTAAAGCAATCACATGTACGAGTTTTGTCCACCGGTCACTCCTTTGATACCTTCCAATCACCAAAAACTACCTAGTTAAAGCTTGGTAACCTTTCAGTTTGTACTCGCTGGTCTGCGCAACAGTCAAAGTTGCCATCTTTGTTTATATGAGACACATATCTCGCGCATGCGTGGCGCGACGACCACCGCCCTTTAACAATATGCGTTTTAAACTACAATTTTCACTCTCACAGGGCGTGGACATCACCGCATATGTTATGGTTACTGAAATGTTCACTCCTAAATGGCGTACATATGCCGGTGTCAATTTGACCATATTTTGGGCAATTGGAATAATGATATTGCCGATGATGGCTTCTTCTATTGATCATTGGCGATATTTACAACTGGCGATATCTCTACCAGCAGTTCTTTCCATTCCTTTATGGTGGTATGTCTGAATAATTATCTTCGTAATTATTAATGAGATATCTTATTAATGTATATCGGATATTTTTGCAACTTAGCTAAAAAGTCAGCTATTTTCCATTCTGGGTAGTAAATGTCTATACTTTTTTTTATATAGGATCGTTCCGGAAACGCCCCGATGGCTTCTGTCAAAGGCTAGGGTAGTAGACGCTGAGAAAATATTACAAAAGATCGGAAGACGTCAAAGACGGAATGTACCTGATAACATTCTCACTGACGAAGCAAACTATCCTCCAATTAATATGCAAATAGTTAGCAGTGAGGGCGTTGTGGCTGATGAGGCTCGCGATAGTACGAACACCGCACCAGAAGACAAGGATAGCAATAAGATTCATCATCTTGGCACGATACCTGTACATATAATTTCAGACGACGGCGACAGTTGTAAACATTCCAGTGAAGTACATTCTGAAAAAAACACAGATAATAATTCTATTGAGTCAACAGATGAAAATAAAGATACTAAGAAGTATAACATCACAGATTTATTTAGAACGCCAACTGTGCGAATGTATTCCCTAATTATGATATTTGTCTGGTACGTGATTGTTTTTCTCTCTATATAATAAATATTGTACTAGCTATTTTACGTTTTATCGAGGTAATTTGTTTTCGACAGTAAAACGTACATAGATCTGAATAATAGCTACTTATACTGAACCTTCGTATCAACTTATATATACCACACGCACTATTGTCTTTGTTAGATGCGGCCATTGTCAAGAAGCAATAACTTATAGAATTGATATACCCGGGTAAATTTAACCACAAATGACTAAACATATTATCCCCAGAAGTTTCGTACCACGTTACATGATAATATGATTATAGCTTTGGGGATACCGTATCACAGTCACCACTAGAAACCATAAAACGACATGTTCACATATCATGTGTATGTTCACATTTCAGGATGGTCAACAGTTTAGTTTACTATGGGTTATCACTCAACACAGACCTGCTGGCTGGCAACAAATATTTTAATTTTTTTCTCAGCGGTGCTGTAGAAATACCGGCATATATATTATCAGCGTTCGCCATAGATATGTAAGTCTGAATCATATAATGTCAACTAGTCCAAGGGGAGGTCTGGTTAATTACCGTTTCGTATAACCATTTCTTGTCCGCTTCCAGGTAATTAGTTCATCACGTGTGTAGCTGCAATATGTTATGGCGACGTATAGCGGGCGAATATATATTTTTGTTTATTTATTTATTTATTGCATAAAATGCAAATAAGCGGAACCCTTTACATCTCGCGTCAAAAATTGCATTTCATTGATTCTTTGTAATTTCTGATACATGATGGATTGTTGTTGTTGTTGTTGTTGTTGTTGTTGTTTATTTTATTTAAGCTCAGTAGCCTCTTAAGTAGCTAGTATTTTTTCAAAAAAATCACAAATTTTCAAAAACTGAAATACAGTAATATTATTCAAATTTATCTCTGGTTATATGTCTCTGTGTAAAGTATGCATATGAAAACCACGATGTATGTCATGACATACGAGTTCTTTCGCTGCATATTCCATACGTTGTCAATATGAATACTTTTATATCAAAGTATTTGGATTAAAGTAGAGATGCAGGTTTGTGGGCACCTGGGAGTGAATGTTTTTTTTTTTTTTGCTTTGTATTATTCAACCAGTCACGGCTATAGACTGTTAAAATTTTGTAGAATTGTGAATAGTGGAACATACTCAAAAAACGATTTTAAAATATAGATGACAGGTGCAAACATTCTCTTTTTTGAATGCTTAGCAAGATTTAGCAAGGCTGTACATAAATAATAAAAAATAAACATGGTGAAAAAAAGAAATGACGAGATCTCCATATTATGAACTATATTTAACTATTTACAAAAAGATAATAGGTTTAAATTTGGAACTGTTACAGCCATTTTAATTATGAGCATTAGCAAACTTCTTACTGAGTGAATTGTTATGCAAATTAGCAATTATCTCAGCTTTTTTTTAGTGCACTTCCCAGAACTTTAAAAAAAATAGCTCCGAGACGCTTTGACCTTTTGTTTTGAAATTTTCACAATTTCTAATTTCCGAGTTACTATTTTTCTCACGAAATTCGATAGAGGGCGTTCTCAAAGTACCCGGATGACATTCCGTTCAACGTTCGTGGTGGGGTTGAAATTTGAGCGGCGTCTGCTGTAAGCAATATACTAGTAGTTACTATTGCCGAAGTCTTATTTTTTACAAACGTTTTGCAAGAATTGGTCAAAATGGTTAACTGACATTGTAATGCCCCAAACTATTCCTTGGGTTCGATTAAAAAGAAAAAACAGCGAAATATCCTGAGATGAAAGGCGTAAATTTTCCTACATTTCTTTCATCCAAGAAATCAACACTTCAACGCCAGTGGATTCGAATGTGTCGTCGGGAATCTGAGTGGACGCCAAACTATATTCCCGGGTTTGTTCACGGCATTTTCCATCCTGCGCCAGTATTTTTTTTAGTT